GTGGAGGGGCTGCGTGGTGGATGGCAAGATTGTAAATCCCCATCGGGCAAAAGAGAAATCCTTTGCAGTACTGTTCTTGCCCATCTAACAGTCTGCTGTTGTTACTTCTTGAATATGTCCTGAAGGGGCCCTGGCAGGTATTTGATGACTGTGTCTAGAATACTCTCTTCCTCCTCCTCCTCCTCATCCCCACAACCAGGAGGGATTGCCTTCTTGGGGCGTGTCAGACTCCCTTCAGCATTAGCTTCCAGTGCAGCTTGGGCCTCTGCTTCCTTTTCTTCCTTCTTCTTTATCCCGTACTGCAGGGGAGAGATAATAAATCGTTAGCCACCCACTGAACAGGATGACTGATGAAGGCAGTCATCTCACACATTGCCTCATGCTCTGCACTATGAACATCACTGTTAATATTCTGATTTTATTATTTCACAAAGACATCCCAATTATCCACCCTAACAACACCCCTCTAAGTAAAGCCCAGTGGATGGACAGCTCTCACAAAGTAAGATGGTCAGATGCTCGGATCACTCAGGAAAAGGCACAGGAGAGAACTTGGGATTACACAGCTGTGGGCCTAGCAAAGACAACACAAGATACCTGTTATTAAAGTTCTGGAGTGCATTCTACCAGTTTTGATCCTCTTTTTTTTTCTGTTAACAAGTCCGAGGCTTAAGTCCATCATCCACAATGATTTTGAAATTCCACCTGCTGCTTTTTATAGTAAAGGTTTATGGCAAAATAAAGCAAACAGGACAGGACAGACAAGCAGATTGCAATGAAAATGACTCGTTAAGATATTCTCATGCGGGAGACATTCTGCACGACTTCATGTCTGTTCTCTTGGTACAAGTGGGACAGAACGACCTCTCGGTGAAAATAAACCTTAATGACATACTCTCTATTTGTACCCAAACTCTGCACTTCTGGGGACATGGCTAACTCACGTTGTCTGAAAGGAAACATCCTTAAGCCTGTGAATAGAATGGATACTTGAAATTTGCTACTCCCATTAAGAATTAAAGGCACTACACTAAGACTTTACATGACTAACCAAAATTTTCTGGTTTAACATTCAAAATGCTAGATCTAGTAGAGGAGTAAATATGTGTTACAAGTGAATCAGACTAGGACGAGAAGTGCTGTAGTGTCTCGGTTCTCACAGTGAGTGGGACTTCCTTTCCAACTGCCGGTTTGAAGGCATGTCCAAGGAAAACAATTTCTGCACCACCAACCTCCATCATTCCTCAGCCTTCAGACATTTCAGTAAATAGTCATTTGGTGACTATTGCCATAAGTGTTTGCATAGAAATTTTTGAGGTATGGTGATACATAATAAAAAAAAAGAACCAACATAGTAAAGCAAAAAAAAACCCAAAACACCCAAACAACAAAAAAACCAAGTCAGACTGTCACATGCCAATCTACAGCAACAAGGATACCTGTAACAAGGGTACTTGCAGGCTCCCCTCTTTTTTGTAAAGTCACAGAATGATTTGGGTTGGAAAGGACCTGCAAAAATCATCTAACCCAACTGCTCTGCAATAAGCAGCCTAAATCAAGTTGCTCAGAAATCTGCTTTGTTTGTTCAGACCGATTTGAATTTTTCCAGACTGTTTCCACTTTATTTGACAATAAATTGAGGTTAAACGTCAGTTTTGTGACCATCGATGCAATCTCTGGAGGTGTCCTGTTTCTTGATGCCCAGCTGTCCTTCAAAGAGACCAGCTGCACATTTTAAGTGTGCTTCTAGTTCCCAGGCTCACAGCTCCCAGGATGGCAGGAACATTCTGCTGCTCAGCCATTTCCCCATCTAACCAGCCACCTTCATGGCTGCTCACACCTGCCTGCTCCTGCCCTATGAGCTCCTCAGCCACTAGTGACCTCACAAGCACCTGCACAATTACTTGCAAACATTCAATTTCAGTTACATTAGGAATGCATTTGACCTTTGTGAGGAAGAGGAAAAGCATTCAGATTTACAGCTATCAGCTTCAAACTTATTGCTCTGTAAAAGCCATTCCTTTATTTATGCCTAAATTTTAATTAAAGTACCAAATGGAATTAAGCTTGCTCTTACATCAGAACCATAAAGTAACTAACTTAAACCAGTGCAAAGGCCAATATAACATTTTACATGAATCAGCTTGAAAAGAACCTCCAAAAGAAACTTTTATATGATTTCAAAAATAGCAAAGAATTATGTTGGTACTAAATACTCAGTATTTTCTAGTATCAGTAGTATGGAACTACTGGATAGACATGAAGTAGATGCTCTTTTCATTATTTTCTCTCTTCATTTTTTCCATTATGAATAGACTCAATTGTTTACCAGTAAATAAAAAAATACATCTCTGCTGTCATAACTTTCTAATTTCAAAGGGCACTTGGGTTTGACAAGAAGCTCCTAAACATTTCTGAGAAAAGGCAATATTTTTGCTTTCTTTGTCCATTATCACTAAGATTTAGGATGACAACTGCAAGGTTGAATCCAGTAACTTCAAAAATCCCTAGTTATCTTAATAGATTCTTTCAAGCCAAAATGTTAATTAAGGATATTTGTCTTATGATTTTTATACCTAGCAGATGCCAGTCACACCAAATTTCTTGTGAGAGATCTTCAAGACAAGTAACATCTCCACGCACATGAGAGGCAAAGGGACTGTTTGCTCAAGTTGTAGCTACAGGGCTGAACACCAGAATGAAGATCCAGCACAGGACCAGCAGCCACTGCAGGGGGAACGGCATACACTGCTAGGCTGTGCATGACCTTGTTGAACACCCATCCAGGCCACAGGCAACTGTCTAACAAAAACAGCCAGTCAAGCACTACTGTGGGAACTGAGGGAAGCTCAAAGACTATATGAAGGAAGTAATGCTGTACTTGCCAGCCTATGCTGACCCATTTCCTCAGGCAGCTGCTGGTGATTGCCCTCAGAGCATTGCACAGCACCAGACAGACCTTAGCTTTTACAAGATATGGTCAGTCTCAGGGGCAGCTGCAGAGTGGGGCAACACATAGCCTGGAAATATATTTTCCAGTGTAAAAGGTCATTATGGAAAACCAGATTCTATTTTTCCAGCTTACTGGTATAAATGGCAAGTACAGAAATTCATTTTTCTTGCTTCCTACCTGTAGTGATGCTACAACATGTAGAAACAAGCCATTTCCCCCTAGTACATATGTAACACCCAAACATGGATTTATTTTGGACAAAAGCATTCTTCTCGTGGAGAAAGATGACACTGCATCAAAAGTGATGATTAGAAAGGATCAGTTCTGACAGTTCAGTGTTATTACTTAACCTCGGTGGTATTTTGTAATGCATTACATTAATCAAAATGTAATGCTGTTATGATTCATAGATTAATAAAATGGCATTTTTCAAGTTTGAAATTGTTTCAGAGGAAATTAAATTATAGAAAGGAAAGTCTTAATATGAATAAAATTTTTAAAAAGCATCTTAGTGTCTTCACAGGAAATATTTTAGGTGAAGCCAACAAATAATTTGAAAAAAAATACAAGTAAAAATAATAAATATTTTTGGTGATCTGGATTTCCCGGTGGGAAATGCTGCACTATCTAAATAAATAAATAAAATTAAAGGATGAGAACAGTTTCTTTTTCTTTGAAGATCTAGCCCCACAAAATTTGATATCTGAGACTGTGTTTCTACCATTACCTGCTTTGCTTTCATTTATACCATCATAGAGTTTATATGCAGAATTATGGACTTAACCCAGCAAGTTACTGAAACATTTTAAGTCTGTGAAACACCTTGCTGCTCTTAAATTCATTTCTATGCTGCCGTACGAGGATTGTTTTCATTGGGTTGTATACTGGTGAAATACCAGTGGACTGGAGTCCTCAGTCATCAGGTGGAAAGAGCAGGGAAAAAATACTATGGCCGTTGGTTTACTACACACTCATTGACTGTATGCAAGAAAAAGACACAAGTATCAATGCCATCAAATTCCTCCACATTTCTTTCCTTCTGTATTTCTCCTTTCCACAGCAAGCCAAAATACATGCATGAGCCAGAAACATGCTGGAAATTCAATCTAACTCTAATGGCAGTAAGGTTTTAAAGGAACAGGAGGATTGTTGAGTCAAGGTGGACTTGGAGCTAAAATGTCACTACACAACACACACTCCTTGTGACAAATTAGCCACTGCTTACTAAAAATGAAGATATCTGTTTAGCAGATATCTAGGCCAGCAGAATGAATAACATAGTAACATCACTGTTAAGCTGCTTGCAGAAGAAACTGCTTATCTCTGGGTCAGTTGTGAAATTGACTCTCCAGGAAGACAGCTGCAGTCCAGGCGCAAGTGAGTGGTTATTCTGGATCAGATTTGGAACTGACTCCTTGGGAACAGGTGATTTATCTGGAAAAGCCAAGGAGCACAGAAGGAGTTTTGTGGGGCACAACTCAAAGACTGCATGGTGGGACACAGACAGATCCTCTGTCAGTGCAGAGTATCCTGGAGTCTGAGCATAAACTGCTGCCAGGATGAATATCTTTCCCATTGACATGACAGGCAGGATGCCCCTGAGACTCCCATAGTATGGATGGGGATTCAAAAGACCAAAAGAATAGTCTTGCTGACCTTACCAGGTTAAGTTAACCACAATGCAATCACAAGAACATTATTCTATTAATATTTACCAGAATTGTATGATGCTAAGATTATTATAGTTACTCACATAATTGTATCTGCTATTGCCATGTTTGATCTATCACATATTACAGTTTCTGTAAGTTATTACATATCACTATGTATATATTTTGTATAGTCACAGCTTCTTTCATCACCGGCTATTTTCACTTCACACTTTTCTTCCATCCAAATACCTGGATAAATAGGAAATGAGTACTGCTACTTGTGGTACTACACATCTGTCCTGAAGCCCAAACTTGCAGCATCAGCTGCTGGGAATGTGAAGATCAACAAAGGCATGTTTCAGCCCTTGGAGCAGAGAAAGGAACCATGGTCTCTTAGCTGGCTTGACACGTTTGCAAGTCTGACTAATACAAGGTTCAGTCAGCTGAGGGTGTGTGCAAAGCCTACAGTAGGTAGTGGGATGCAAGTAAATGTTGTAATGCCTTCCTAAGACAGACTCACACAGCTCTGAATAGCAGGAAATTTTTAAGCATGTCCTGGGTGAATCTGTCTGACTAGCACTTTTAGTGGCTGGTAGCAGCTGTCAGCCAAGTCTCCTCCACTGGGGCTGCAACAAGGTGTTTGAAATCTGGAGGTCCGCATATATGAACCCCACAAAACAGCTTTGCACCACCTATGGTGCTTGGAGTTGTTCATGGCTGGTTGTTTTCACTGTGGACAACTGGCAACACTTTCTTTCATTTAAAGAAACCTCTCTTCTTCCCAATGTGCTCTGAAGGCTGGAAATTGCTCTTCATTCTGCATCCCAAGAAATAATATTGAGTATCAGCTAACACTGAGTTTGAATTTCTGGGAAAGAGTTGGCACATGCATGATTCCGGTTACATTTCTCTTCAGGGAATTTTTCTCCTCAGTGTTTTTGTGTAGCTGTAGGTGGCAGTGAATCTATATCTGAACAGATGTGGCAGACACAGTCATATCTGGAATTACTGTTTTATTTATTAGTGAGCTTTTAAAAGCTATCAAGAGATTTCAATGATTGTTCCTTATCTTGCTTCATATAAAAATTAAGGGAGGCTTCGTCTCTTCCCACACGGTCCTGTCTATTAAGTTTAATTCACATTCTAACAAACAACAATAAAAAAAGCACAAAAAAAGTAGCAGCCACACTTGAAAGTATATGATTAGAGAAGACCCTGACGAGGCAACCTGCCCACCCTCCTACCTTAAGGGTTAACTTGACCTGCGACAATATTTTCTTAGAGACCTCAGCCTATGAACAAAATGAACTTTTGAAATTCCTTTTTAAAAGAAAAATATCTGGAAAACTGAAAAGACATAACCACTGCAAAAATATTTATCTTTCCTCTATCCTTTTGGGCTTCATTTATTACGTGCTCTAAGGTTGTTCTATTTTTTTTCTCTTCCATTACCATTCCAGCCCAGTTAACATCTTCCCATCATTACCTTCCATTACACCTATGGACCTGACAAGACTATATGCAGGACTGAAACAAATTGTGAGCAATGGAAAAGGTTTAGCACTGACCTGTGCCTCCACAACTGTGAGAGCCTGGGGCACAAAAAAAGACCCCATGTCTTTTTTGGACACCATGCCCATGACTTATTTGTACAAGCATTGAAGTCTTTCCACTTGATTTCTTTGGTGTCTCTGTGAGTGGACAGCCAGCCAAGCATACCTCTGGCTTTAAGCCTGAGGTAAAGATGAGGCAGTTTTCAGTCAGAGGCTTAGGAAGGTACCTCCCACTGTGGTGGACTATCCTCTGGTTTTGTCTTTTTACTGATGCTGCAGTATCACTTACTGACCCTCCTGTGGTGAGAATGCTGCTGTGTCTTTCTGTGGCAATGGAAAGTGCAGATTTTTCTTCCTCTACTTCTATTCCTGCCAAGCCCCTGAGTTGGGGATGCATGTTGCAGAATGAGAGAAGGGTTTTCCTATACATGACAGTGCTGAAACCTTGAGCCCTGAGTACTCTGTTCTCTGCACAGCGAGTCTGCTTTGTTGTGCACGTGGCCCAGCAATGTGTGCTGGTTCGTCTTCCACCTAACCTTTAGGGATCTCTTGATTTCATTTGTGTGTACTTTGGCTGTTGGTTGGTTGGTTGGTTTTGTTGGCCTGCTTGTCTTTATGATCACTTCACGTATCCCTGTCTTGATGTCCAAGGAGTTGCTATCAAGATAGGACCGGATTGGTCCACAGAAAACTTCTGCAGAAGCCTTTTAAGGTATTTGAAAAGAGGACTCTATCTTTGACCCTCAACTTATTAATTTAATTCTGCCATGCTTTGTCAGAATGACCCAGACTGCCTCAAGCAGCTCAGCCATGCTGACCCTCATTAATCTCTGTGCTTTGTGGGGAGTAACAAAGTAAGAATCACAGCCTGCTACATGGGGAACCATGCAGCCTTCCAGCTGTGGCAGAGAATGAAAGGTAAGAGAGAGTGCTGGGTGTCTCAGTCTCTGCCAGTCCCTGGTGGGAGGTGGATGTGTGGGTGTGTGTCTAAGTGTTCCTGTCACCACATGCTGCTGCATAGCTCTGCTGACCAGGACTCTGGCACTGTGTTAGTACAAGAAGGATAATTAATATTGGAAAAGAACACGGTAAAGTCTGGAAACTGCAGTCCTAAATTATATTTTCAATTGAGTGTGAGCCAAAAAGCAGTGTAACTCAGGAAAGAGGTGCCAAATAGAGAGAAAGGAGGGCAATTCAACTTCAGGAAGGCAGAGCAATGGAAAAATGAGCAGTTTCTGCTTCATGCCTCATTTGTCCTGGAACAGACCTTCCCAAGACATCTCCTTGGAAGCCGTCAGAGTCTTTCAGCTAGCTTTCCTACAGAGGTTATTTGTAGACAAGGCTTCTGTCCTTTCAGTATTTCACCTCATCTGCCCATAAGTTCCCTGTGGCTACACGTGCCTTGCTCGTCTCTGCTAGCTCAGGCTTTCCGCTCCATCAAAATCAGAGCAGCTCTTCATTTGTTACATTTCTTGGTTCAGGTCTTCCAGTATGTGTTTCAGTCTTACACCCTGCTTCTCTCAGGGGGCTCCCATAGCAGGTAGACAGAAGCCTGCCATTTCCACTTGCACCACAAGCACATACTAGATGCAGATGTGGAATTTAAAGGATCATAAAATCACAGAATCATAGAATGCTCTGAGTTAGAAGGGACCTCAAAATGTAATCTAGTCCCTCCCCCCTGCAGTAAGCAGGGACCTCCCCAACTAGACCACGTTGCTCAGAGTCCCATCAAGACGGATGTGGAATGTCTGCAGGGATGGGGCCTCCACCACCTCTCTGGGCAGCCTGTTCCAGTGGTTCATCACCCTCATAGTCAAGAACTTCCTCCTAATGTCCAATCTACATCTACCCTGTTCCAGTTTAAAACCATTGCCCCTCGTCCTGTTGCTACAAGCCCTGGTAACTGGTGCTTCCACAGCTTTCCTGTAGGCCTCCTTCAGGTACTGGAAGGCCACCACAAGGTCTCCCTGGAGCCTTCTCTTCTCCAGGCTGAACAGCCCCAGTTGTCTCAGCCTGTCCTCACAGGAGAGGTGCTCCAAGCCCTCTTATAATTTTTGTGGCCCTCCTCTGGACCCATGTCTTTCCTGTGCTGGAGGCTCCAGAGCTGGACACAGGACTCCAGGTGAGGACTCATCAGAGCACAGCAGAGTGGCAGGATCACCTCTCTCCGTCTGCTGGCCACAGTTCTTTTGATGCAGCCCAGTACGCTATTGGCCTTCTGGGCTGCAAACGCACACTGTTGGCTCATGTCCTGCTTTTCACCCACTGGTATCCCCAAGTCCTTGTCTACAGGGCTACTTTCTATGACATTATCCCCCAGCCTGTATTGATACTGAGTATTGCCCCTACCCCGGTGCCGGACCTTGGACTTGGCCTTGTTGGACCTCATGAGGTTCACATGGGCCCACTTCTCCATCTTGTCCAGGCCCCTCTGGATGCTCTCTGGAATGTCGACCTCACCACTCAGGTTGGTGTCATCTGCAGACTTGCTGAGGGTGGACTGGATCCCACTGTCTGTACCACTGATGAAAACATTAAACAGTATTGGTCCCAGCATGGGCCCCTGAGGGATCTTCACCTCCCTCCCATCAAGACCTTCTTCTGGTGACAGTGGAGAGAAATCTGATAGTCACATCCTCCTCCCCTACATCAACCATGCATAAGAACCACACACCTGTTTTCTGTTCTTACTAGCTGCAGGATTGCAGCACATTCCTATGTGAACGCATGTTGCCCCCAGCATCCAAGAGTACTGCTGTCCAAATCAATAGATATGAAAGCTTCACAATGGAGACAACAGAAGATAAAGCACTGCTCTCCTGAGCAGATCTGCACTCAACAACCCTTGCTACTTTACTTTAATTGCTATTTGCACAACTGTAAGTGAAAAACAGAGCTGCACCTGGCTCCTAGTTGCAGAGGACACTGTGAATTTGCTTCAAATTCAGATCAAGGGGAATCTTTCCATTCATCTCAATGGAGGTGGGACCATATATGGTTAAAAGACAGATGGAAAACATGTTTGGCACTATGGATGCTGACTGTAGGCTAAAGCAAACTGGCCATTCTGCTCACTGTTCAACTAGCTCCAGCCAAAATGTGTCTTTTCCATTATGGCATTCAGGTGGTGTGAACTACAATATGTGAACAAATTTACTCCTCTTCAGGATGCAAGGCTGTATGAGAAAGAATAGGCACAGTTACCACGTATAATGAATTTTTCAGAATACTCAGCAGAAAACGTGTTTTCTTTTCCTCTGTATTTGCAAATATCACAGAATCACATGGAGTGTTAGGGGTTGGAAGGGACCTCAAAAGATCATCTAGTCCAACCCTCCTGCCAGAGCAGGATCACCTAGAGTACAACACCCAGGAACACGGCCAGGCGGGCCCTGATAGTCTCCAGAGATGGCGACTCCACCACACCCCTCGG